TTTTTGTTTGGGCATACTCATTTTCATTTTACCACTCTTTTGAACCCTCAGTAATTATGCCGGATGATTTGGCTAGAGCTCAGTGACATTTCATTGCCCCTACTGTCTGTTTAATATTTGCCGATAATACATTTCGACTATTCATATATGTATTAGTCTAAATGGATTGGGTTTTTCTTGTGTGACTCGTATTATTGACTTATAAGATGAGTCATAGTTAAGGGTGGCAAGTACATGGGTACATGTATACATGTATAGGTTAGTTTCATATGTATGTATAAGGATACTAATGTAATGCTAGTTTTATCCTTTTAATAAAAGGTCAAATGTTAGTGATGACAATGAGTATATAGATTAACAAAGAACGAAATAGGTCGATCTTCGTATGCTATTCATTCAATGTTATTGTGCCCATGTTGTTTTTGTCTGCTAAAATGATATTATCAGTGTAGGGTTGTTGGGATTGTTAAGTTTTTGATTGAGATCATGAATCGATAAATGTTAGATCACCATGGAAAACTGGAGGCACTGGATGATCGTTAAGTCCTTGTATGAGACTGAGGAGTCCTAAGATCTCAATCAAAAACTTAACTATCTCCACAACATAACACGTATAATTACCAATCCAGCTAATTTTTGTCAGGTGGAGACAGTGTAGACCATCAACGTTGATGATCTATGTTGAATTATTGGAGGCCTACTCGAGTTAGACGGGGAGGGTGTAACGAATAAGCTAACTTTGAAGTCACACCTCGTAATCAGCACCTGATTCTGACACATCTGTGTGTATCTACGAATTCAGCTGCTCCTATGAAGAAATCTATATTAGGAGCACTATTAGACAACTGAACTAAAGAGTTAGTGAATACCACCCTTCGTGGTTAGGAAAAGGTACTGTCAAGACAATATATAGCTCGGTTCTTTCACACTTGATTGATAGAGGTCATATAGTCGACAGAAATAAATCATTTAAAGTTATTTATCGTATTCCTACTAGTTTCCCTTATGGGGTTTGATCTCATCTCTTACACATAGCAGAAGCTATAGGAATTCGAGCTAACAATCGGTCAGCACTAAGAAGGACTTGACACGCATGAATGTGAAGCTGAATCACACGGGATCGAATCCGTCAGGGAGCGCCAGTTCTCTCAAGATTACAGGTACACCTTGCTGACGAGTGCCAAGTAGCATGAAACCCTGGTCCAGGGTTTCCTGTTGATCACCTCCAACCACCATCTTATAACAATCCAAGTGTTTGTGTTCATAAGAAATTTGTAACACTTTTATCTCTCCCACGGCCTTATTGATTGATTTCATTTTCTCTACTCTTCCTTCGTTTATTTTTCCTCCCCCACATCCTCCCTATATTTTCTCCCAAATATACTCTTCACGGTTCAATTATTTGAACACTTCCTTCTTATTACATAATCTTATAACGATTATGAATGTGATTCCAGTGTCTTTAGTTTTCTAATCACTGACCTATTTCCAATTATCTAACATTGACTCAAGCCTTAATTATTGTTATCAACATTAGTGCACTAGTCATCACATTGTCAATTTGTACTTTACATTTAATATTATGTTTAGTTATGTAATCTATTCCATTGTTATCAGAAGAAGTATTGTGGAGATTTAGTATTTTCATAGTTGAAAGTGTAAGTCAATTGAAACTACATCACCATCGAAAACCTGGAAGCACTGAACGGCTGTTTCGTCCTATTGTGGGACTCGTCAGCAGTGCGCATCCACGATCCCGCCTCACGAGATTCGAACCCAGGACCTACCAATCTCGCGCATATCAACTAATCATTGGTCACTGGCTACCATGGGACTGTATCTCCTTACGATGCTCCACTGCCTCGTGGGTTGGACCTTTAGATCAAAGGCTACGATTGTGGTCTTTTAAGAAAACCACCTGCTTCAGTTTTAGCACCTAGGCAGTATCACAGCCCTCACACAAAATCAGATGAGATTTGTGCAGCGCATATGTATCTGAGTGATAACATGTCAGACCTAATTAAATTTTAATCTGTGTTCATGTATAGGTCGATGTGAGGAAAGTCCATTTCGGTATAAAATAATGATTATTGAAGCTAATGTAATTTATTATGTAACGAAAATCTTATTTAATTTTCTTCAAAGTCATACCTTACGATTTGTATGACATCCAATAAATTGGTTGTGCATGGTGATGTCATAAAGGTAGGTACTTTTTATAAAAGATAAATAAAAGATGAACTTTTAAATATTTTTTCTTCAGATTAAATTGTTATGTTAAGTTTTATCGGCGAGAATATAATTTATGAACGAGCCAATCAGAAGCGTTTAAGGAATTTCAAGGTTACGGCACCAATTTCAGTACCTGATGCTCATGTACGATCGGTTCACAGGGAAATTTAGAGATGATTTGACAATTAAGTGGCTATACCACATGATACTACTAAGAAGTTCCTTTGTCTGTGACTGTGGTAATTAAGTGACTTGTAGACCTTGTGCAGACTACCCTGATGTTGTCCTTCGATGTAATATATGTTGAAGGAAGACGTTTGCTAGAATAGGAACCTTTATCACTCGATCCAGATTGGGACTAAGGCATATTATAATAATTGCCGTGAACTGTATAATTAAAGCACCAGTAACATTGGCTGCAATAATCGCAGATGTTGCTGAAGCTTCGGCTGTTCAGTGATATGAGCATTGTAGGGATATATCCATAATAAAAATGATAAACCTACACAACCCGAGTACACACAAACAATAATGAAATTATGTGGTCTAGGCTGAGAGGGTTTTTGTGACCTTTTCATGGTTCCAGAGACCGACTAGTATGGAGCCACCTGAATGAGTTCCTCTACCTTATGCATTACGACTTTTGAATCTTTGAGTCTCTTCCTAACCCTGACAAGTTTTCGGAACATATAAAAGAAGTGTATCCACTTTAATTCGATGGTTTTGTATAATATATTTTTAGAAGGGTTTTTGTGGAGATTTGGTATGTTTCATAGTTGAAAGCATGAGTCAATTGAAGCTAGACCAGGTTTTCCCCGGTGGTCCACAAAACTCCTTCTAATAATTAATATAATCATATGGTCACTAGTGACTTCGGGAAGTTTATCCATGAGCTCTAGTGAGAAGCAGTGACCAGTAGAGTGCAATCCACGTCTGTCGTGAGATAGGAACTCACTGATGACAATTGGTGAAAGGTTGCTTAACTTCGTGGATCAGTTGAAGTTAGACATTAACACCGTTGGATGCCAGCTCAGTGGTCTATCGGTTAAGGGCTTCGGCTCGAGACTGGTAGGTCCTGGGTTCGAATCTCGCGAGAGCGGGTTCGTGGATGCGCACTGCTGAGGAGTCCCATAATAGTAGGAAACGGCCTTCCAGTGTTTCCAGACTTTCCATGGTGGTCTAGCTTCAATTGACTCGCGGTTTGCACTATAATATATTTTTACTTTATGCTGACTGTTTGCTGATTGTCTAACATTTCTCAAGGTCACTTAAGCTTCGTTGAAAAGTCGGCCATAAATTATAGCCTCGCCACCATTTGACTATTTATATAAATTTCTGTGTGATTCTACTGATTCATATATCCAACAATAGAATTTTCTTTACTGATATGATATAACTGTCAACTATTCATTTAAATGACAAATATCTAATTTTCTTAATGATTGAGGTTAGACATTAACACCGTTGGATGCTGGCCAGTTCAGTGGTCTGTCGGTTAAGTGCTCGCGCCCGATACTGGTAGGTCCTGGGTTCGAATCTTGCGAGTCGGGATCGTGGATGCGCACTGCTGATACATAATGATGATTTCAAATAGCTTGTGGACGTTCATACAGATTTACTGAGATCTCTACAATTTAATAGTTTATCACAATAATAATGTTAGGAAAAAACAGTCTGTGAATTTAACTGTTTTCTATCATGTGGTAAAAAAAAGAAACTTTTAAATACTGTTGCATAATTACTGTTCAACGCACTATTCCAATACTCAACTTTTCTATTTCTTATCATATGACTACTCCATGTAAACATTTGAGTAGTACATTGTAGGTCAATCATGATCGAACTAGCTGAAGGATGGAAGTCGAGAATACAACGGAGAACATGTACATCAGTGACGAAAACCCATTATCACAAATCCGATGTTCGAGACATCCTGTTGATTGCTTCCAACCATCTTAATATAAGGAAGTTTAAAAATTAATGGTCACATTACACATTAGTCGACGCGATTTGATTAGCACTAATGGGGTTGTAACATAACATTAGATACAGCTCAGTAATCAAACAGTACAATTAATATTGTTTGTTTGAATCTTCCCATTGTTTTTTTTAAAACTTCAACTAATCAGTCTCTAATTGACATATGCGCATAATGTGCGTATTGCCTCGATATAGCCTAAATTCACAATCATTGTAAACAAAGATGGATAGTGGCTAGCAGTTGAATCTAGGACGCGTGTTTCATTGTATTTGTGACTGGTCAGCTGAATGTATCTACATCTCAGAGTTGATATTCACTCTGGAACTCGAACCCAGTAAGTTTTGCTTCAAACGCCATCGCGTTATCCACTCAGCTACGTAAGTACATAAGTAAATAAATTATATAATCTATACAAATTTCAAGACCATTCATTTGATTATATCATCATTCAATGTTAACCGGATCACCTTTGATAGAAGGTAAGGTATTTTTTATTAAAAAGTGCCACTATGTCAGTCATATTACAATCATTAACTTTGTACCTTCATATGTGTATATATCAGTATTGGTTTAATTATCTGTTAAATACTAGACTGATCTTTTAAAGAATTCATCTGATCTATTGATTCAATGATAGTACAAAGATCATCTTGTTTTATATTAATAAAGCAAATTCTAATTGTAGATCAACATTCATTCTCTATTATCTATACAGTTTTAATACCAATCCAAATACTACTGTTATTATCATTATAAGTAGTATTGTTACTCCCTATTGATTGTTACAATGAAATGTAAGTGAATAATATTGATTGAGTAGAAAGAATTATTAAGTTAGTGGCATTTGATGTTATTTACACACATATCTTCCTATTATTGTGTAGCTGTAAATGAATCCCCAAAATCAATAGCTCATTAAGCGTTCGACATTGGGTGCTGACCAAATTAGTTTTAGCGGACTTGTTTAGCTGAAGGTGTTCGGTCATGCATCCGCATCAGTTCACGTAACAGCACAGAGTGTGAAACATCTCCTACGATCATTAGCCAGATTAGATCAATTTCTACTTGATATATTGATAATTCATCAAATATATCTTTCCAACCTCTTCGCATCTGACTTCTGATTTTAACTGGGTGGGGCACGAATCGATTATAGAAGGTGCCAATGGTCAATAGTTGTCAAACTACAATACTGGTAGTATCTTTAGTGGTGAGCACGATGTGATCTGGTACACCAAACAGTAAAATGTGAATCTGTTCCTTCTTGGAACTTCATAAATCATTGTTTTGCTTTAGTTGACTTTTATATATTGTCATATATATTCTTTTTTCGAGTTTTCGGATATATTTGAATTATTTATTCTGCGTTCATCATAATACTTGATTTTTCACAATGAAGGAACAGACATTCAAAGTATTTAAGTTAAAGAATATACCCCCACCCTCGATTCAGTTAATGCTTTTTCGGCCGGAAATTATCGAAGCCTGGTTCTGCTACTCAGAAACTGACTTTTTCGGACACGGCATTACAGACTCACTCACACAGTTCCTCGCGGTCGTTAAGACACTGCCAAGCGAATTCAACATAGCCGCCTCTTATATGTCACGGATGTGACAACGAAAGTTCGCTACCTCGTCGACACTGGTGCAGAAGTTAGCGTTATTCCCGCGAATTCTAACAACAGGCTCCACGAGCCTGTTTTAAGCTCACAGGCGGCAAACGGAGAATAGATTGCTACGTATGGTAAAAGGTACGTCTACCTTAACGTGGGTTTACGCAAACCCATTCACTGGCTTTTCGTGGTCGCAGATATTTCCATGTCAATCATTGGTATAGACCTGTTACAATACCACAATCTACTCATCGACACACGCAAACGAAGGTTAATAGATGGTAACACCAAGTTATCTGTTTGTGTAACTCCTCTTTCTGGTTTCAGATTATCCCCCGTCACAATTAAGCACACCATTGACCCTTATATCAACCGTTACTTGACAAAAACTCCGGGATATATCAATCACAACCGAAATTATCGTTTGTAACCAGCAATGTTACACATCACATCTCGAGTACAAGACCACCTGTATTCCCGAAAGCACGCCGACCAGCTCCCGAAAAGCTTCGGTTGGCTAAAAACGAATTCGACCAAATGATAGATTTAGGAATAATAATAATAATAATAATAGCCCATGGTCATCTCCCTTGCCTATGGTCCCTAAAAAGGACAGCAATGATTAGCGTCCAATTAGTGATTGTCGTCGTCTGAATGCTAAAACCATTCCCGACCGTTACTCGTTGCCTCACATTCACGATTTGACAGCTACTTTGAAAGGTACAACTGCCTTTTCGAAAATGGACTTAGTTAAAGCTTACAACCAAATATCTATGGCTACTGACGACATTACAGAAACCGCTATCATCACTCCTTTAGGCCTCTACGAATTTTCGCGAATGCTTTTCGGTCTAAGAAATGCTGCTCAAAACTTCTAAAGGTTTCTAGATGACGTCTTCCGAGATCTCAAGTCCGGACAGAGAATCACATCTCCACCATCTGGACATTGTTTCTGAACGACCCCAAAGGCATGACATTACTGTCAGCTTTCAGAAATGCAAAATAGGAACCAACTCATTAGACTTCCTAGGACACACCATTGATGCCCAAGGCATCCTACCTCTTAGAAGCAAAGTGGCGGCCATTATGGATTACCCAGAACCGACCACGATTAAGCAGGTGCGCACGTTTGACGGCCTTGTAAGTTTCTATAGACGGTTCATAAACGAAATCCGCATCCATTCTGAAACCGTTAACCGAGCAACTTCGTGTAATTGCGAAATCAATTAATATAGACGACACCGCGTGAAAAGCATTCTCCACAGTTAGGGAACATATCGCAAAGGTAACCATGCTGGCACATCAGGACGCTCAAGCGCCCATCAGTATCGCCGTAGACGCATTTGACTCAGCAATGGGTTAACCATTTTGGCAACCTTTAGGATTTTTCTCGAGATGGTTGCTAGGCACTGAAAGAGGTACAACACTTTCGGTAGAGAACTCCTAACTATGTATTGTGCTGTACAGAATTTCCAACATTCCATCGAAGGAAGAGAATCCACAATTTTTACCGATCACAAACCTCCTACCTTCTCTTTAAGCCCATCCTCAGACAAGTACTCACCTCGAGTCTCGACAATTGGACTGCATTTCGCAGTTTACTTCAGATATACAACACATTTCTGGAGCAAACAATGTAGTTGCAGACGCCTTGTCTTATATAACTTCCTTGAACAGTTTCCAAGGGATCGACCTTCTTAAAGTCGCCCAGCTTCAAAAAGAAGACACTGATCTTCAGCATGAGTTATCCTCAACCACTCTTAAACCGCGTGCTAAACAGATGGGAACAGGTAAGGAAACCTTACTATGTGACACATCTACAAGTATTGATCGTGCAATCCTATCAAAACATTATCGACAAAACGTCTTCAATACTTTGCACAATCTTTCTCATCTAGGTTTTCGTGCATCCATCAAGCTCATAGCAGAGCGGTTCTGCTGGCCTGGTATGAATAAAGACGTGAGGGGGTGGGCACGCTTCTGTGTAAGCTGCCAGAAGTCTAAGGTCATTAGACACAACAAATGTCCCTTAGGCTCGTTCAAAACTCCTGATACTCGTTTCGACCATGTTCATTTGGATTTGGTAGGACGCTTACCAGATTCAAATGGATCTCTTAACCTGCGTACAGCGTTTCACTCAATGGCCAGAAGCAGTACCTATCAAGGACATTACTGCATAAACAGTGTCTCGCGCCTTTGTCGGATGATGGGTTGCGAATTTCGGCTTCCCTTTAGGTATCACTACAGACCGCGGACGCCAGTTCGAATATTGACTTTTCCGTTGTCTGACCACACTATTAATAATAACTCGTTTCCGAACAACCGCCTACCATCTACAAGCAAACAGTTTGGTAGAACGCTTTCACCGACAACTAAAAGCTTCTCTATCAGCCACAAACAATTCACCGTGGATAAACGCTATTCCACTGGTCTTACTAGGTATCTGCAATGCAGTGAAAGCTGACATTGGATACACTGCATCTCAACTCGTTCATGGAACGACACGTCTCAGAGTTAATGTCCAACTATTCATCTTTGCTTATTGAATTCATTTCATCAGTTTTAATTTTATATTCTTTTTAGATCTAGGTGAAAAACATAAAGTAAATTACTTAACAGAATTGAATAGTAACCAAGTAGGTTATTGATTGATTTGTTTGTTTATTTATTCAATTACACCATAACATGAATATCTAGATTAGAATAGAACCAAATCAACAAGTAACTAGTGGTAATTTTTATCTGAAGGTAATTTAATACAACAAAATGAAATGGTATCTAATTTGTAAGGCGGGTGCTATAGCTTTTCTACACCTAATAATAATATGGGGAATGAATCTTCTTGTTATACTGATGTAAGTTCATTTCATTCAATTGGAATTATCGGAAAATTTTATTCTATTTATATTTAGTGGTAAATTGAAGGATTGGTTACGAAACACAAACTGGTTTGTTGGTCTATGTTTGTGAGTTATTAATTGTTTGGTTTAACTATTTCCGTTATGATGATGGTGTTGTGTTCTTAAAAAAATTAGTATTCAGTAGCATCTATTGAATTAATTGAGTAGACACATGTAAGTTATTAAGATTGAAAGAAGACTGTGTAAAAAGATTGTTGTTCATCACCATCGATGATCTTTGTCGAATGATTCAGGGACTACTCGAGTGAGATAGGAATGATGTGATAAAGCAGTCAACGTCGAAGACATACCACACAGTCAGCATCTAACGTGGATTACCCCTTCGACGTATCATATTATTATGCTTGCTTCGAAGATTGTATAACACAAAGGACGTTATAATAGAAATATTTTAGGTAGAGTGAGTACAAGCGTCAATGTGACCACCACCACTACCACCAACGGAACCAGTGCAAGCCTTATGATTAACTGATGTGCGTTGGTTGTCTGTGACTTTGACACGGATCGATGATCTATTCGATATGTGACGATTCAACTAGCGGATGATTTGACTAGAGCTTAGTGACATTTCACTGGTCCTACATCTTCAAATGTCTAACATAACAGTTAAATGTTTGTATTACTTCCTGAACCCACTTCTTTATTAACCGCACTTTCAGAGTAATCGTCATACTACACAAAATTAACATTGTTTCGATCAGCTTTTCATTATTTATTCAGATTGTTCAACGCATAAAAAGCTAGAATAGTAAGAAACGTAAGGATATTAAACGTGAATACATGGGGAAACTAATAATAGAACCAGGGTGATAGGGTTATAAACGGATGTGTTTCACTGATTAGTTTCATCAATTTAAAACTAGGTTTTAAGATAAACAGATTACGAATACGATTGGACACACTGCAAACTACTTTGTATCAGTAAGTAATATGAATGACTCATAAAATGTTTGTTGAGAGGATATAACAGGATCAAATTGTAACCCCTGCTTCATAGTCATCAATTCACCCTAACACAATTTTGTCAAAATCAGGATGTTCACATTTGAGACTGGTGAATCTGTGATATAAGTTAACCATTATCGATTTCATTCAATGGATAACTATCATAATCTGTACATGATTTACTCATATCTATCAAAATGTCGTTCCATCTTTAATATTTCAGTCATTATTTCTGCATCAGTCTGAACTTTATTTTCAATCTATATTTGCTTTGTATTACTACAGCTTTTCAGGACTCTTCATTGATTTGGAGATGGCTCTCGTACAACAACTACAATTTAAATTTCCATGGAACTACATACTATTGGTATTTAATGTAAGTAGTTAAGAATGATACTTGAGAATATTGATCATTATCACCATTATATGATTTGATGTCACAATATCTATTTCGATAGTATATATTTAGGTTAATTCCCTATTAATACAGATAAAATGACTGGTTAACTAACTACACGGTTTCATTTCATCCTAATTAGTTGAGTCAGTGAAGAATGTTTAGGTTATCCTTTTCATTAGGTTCTAGAATTTTCCATGATGAATTATGTAAAGTTGATATCTCATTCCGAAAATTTAAATCGCTTCATGAAATTGACTTTGTAGCTGATGTTGGGTAGTTGGATAGATTCATAAGAGAACCTTGACCATAAGTGTTTTTAATAGTTGACACTAGTCAATAAACCACATTCATCATGTTGACGACTATCTGGCAGTACGAAACTTAGTTCTATAACTTCCTGTTAATCGCATACAACCATCAAAGCCTACTGACTGCAACACAATGATTCGTCATTTAGATTAGTATACACATCGTAGGTTCGATCCCGACCGTTGCTACTACCTTGACGTGGTGGTCGAGGTTGCCTATCGTGATGAACCAATCGAGCTATACTGTCTGGAACAATCGTTCCTCAAGGTCCTACCAGGTTAGTTGAAGAGCGGTAAGACTAGAAGCAGCAATCCCAAGATCCGAAGGCGAAGTTATACTGCTGACTGTACAGAGGTGTGACAGCAGTACCCTTAATAAATCTCTTATCTCAACGACTTACCCTTTCCACGTCCTTTTATCACCTCGCACCGCTAGGACAAACGATTCGAGTACACAAAACGTTATTCCTGGTCTCCTGAAACCACTCTCTAAACTATGTGTAGGAACTTTTAATGTCCGAACACTGTGCCAAATAGGACAACAGGCCTCACTAGCTAGGATTCTAGAATCTCACACAACCGATGTGTGTTGCGTCTCCGAAACGCGCATACAAGATCCGAGTAGAGTAATTCATTTGACTTCACCATATCAAAATAAAGAACCATCTCGATACACGCTTCGTGTATCTGGAAGCCCTGATGCTGCTTCTCGTTCTCCTAGGGCAGAACTAGCTCTTTTAGACTGGATCCCAGTAGACAGTCTTCTATGCACTGTCCGGCTAAACGGATCAGTAAGGCCTCGGAAATATAGAGAAACTCATCGCTGCCTCTTCGTCGTCTCTGCCTACTCTTCCACTGACTGCAGCTCAGACGATATAAAAGATGAGTTGTACAGGAAACTTTCCGACCTTCTCCGAAAAGCTAGGCGATCTGATGTAGTAATGGTGGCAGGTGACTTTATTGCTCAAGTAGGTAAATTAAGTGAAAGGGAAAGACATCTTAGTGGATCTTATGGTGTGAAGGCTAAAAGAACAGATAATGGCGATCGTCTGTTGCAGCTGTGCCCAGATAACCGCCTATCTCTTGCAAATACTAACTTTAAGCATAAGGAAACAACATCTTTTGACATGGCGACCCCGAATTCATCCTAACGTTGGTCGGAATCAGATCACATCGCTATCAGCCACCAATGGAGGGGCTCGATAGAAGACTGTCGCTCATTCTGGGGAACATGTTTGGATTCAGTTCATGCTGTAATGCGAGCACGTATCTGTCTGCGTCTTACTGGACGTAGGAAAGACACCGCAAGGAAACCTCTTAGGGTTTTACTTGCCGATAAGCTAGCTTAGAAGATATTTCAGGAACAAATAGAAAAACAGTTAGACAGCCATGTAAGTAGTGTCCATCCCGAGGCAGCGTGGAACGACATCCGAAAAGCTGTGGAAACAGCAGTGATATCCGCCAGTAAGGTAAACCATAAGGTCAGGGAGAAACAATGGATCTCGGCAGCATCTACGGCACTGATAGATGCTCGAAAACGCATCCCACCTGGCTCTGAACATAATGAAGAACGGAGTCAGCTTAAGCTAAGGCTAATAAGAAGCCTACGCAATGATCGTGAACAGTGGTGGGTAGCCAAAGAAGAAGAGATGTAAATGGCAGCGGCAATAGGTAACAGCAGAAAGCTATTCAGACTTGTTAAAGAAACCGGTATTAGGAACCCAACTGTCAGTGACACAATCTCAGATAAAGATGGGCATATCATTCATTCTCAATCCAGGAGATTGGATCGATGGGCAGAACACTTTAGGGATCAGTTCAATTGGCTTTCAGCCACACTTCAGTTACCCACGATCCCCAGTCGTCCTGAATGGCAAATTTAGTTAAGTAATAAAGCTATCTACGAGGTTGAAAAAGCTATAGGAAATCTGAAGCGAGGGAGATCGGCAGGCCCAGACATGTTTGCCCCTGAGATTTTTAAGGATGGTGGTCCAGTACTAGCAACCAGATTGACTGAGGTCTTAGGTAGAATCTGGGAACTGGAAGTAATTCCATCTGGCTTGTCCCAATCACTGATTGTGCCAGTCTGTATGAAAGGACAGAAGTCCTCTTGTGACAGTCCCAGAGGGGTCAGTTTCACTAATATAGTGTCTAAAATATTAGCTTCAATAATACTTTGACGACTAACCAAAACTTGTGAAGAGCAGACTAAAGAAAACCAGGCTGGCTTCCCACCTGGACACGGGTTTATAGACCAGTTATTCACCCTACGTCAGGTCCTAGAACATAGACATACATTCAGATGTCCCACAATCGTAGTATTTCTCAACATTTAGGCGGCTTTTGACTCCGTTGATCGTGAAGTTTTAATGTCAGTAGTAATTTTTCAACCAATGCTCATTCATAGCTTGATTCAATATATTTCTCAATTACTAACATTCAAATAAATGTAGAGTAACAATTAACACAGTAAAGATTTGAAGGTTACATTTCCTACTTTATTGTCGATTCTCATTGTCGGGTCAGTGAACTGTCACTGATCTCTGGCCAAATCATTTGGCAGTTGAATAATTGAATATCGAACAGATCGTCGATCCCTATCAAAGTCACGGACAACCAACGTACATAAATTAATCGTACGGCATGGACTGATTCATGTGGTGGTGGTGGTGGTCACGATGTCGCCTGTACCTACTCTTACTAATATGTTTCTATAAAACGTCCTCAGTGTTATGCGGTCTTCAAAGCAAGCGTAATACTTTGATACGTCGGAAGGGCTATCCGCATTTATATATTTATTTATTTGAACGCATAAATATTAGTACAAAGGGGCACCAGATACATATGTTACCTCAGGATACTGGAGCCCATGTGCACCGTTGGTTTGGAATCAGAGTTTCCCAACTCCCCTAGGTAGAAGCACCGTGTCCACCAACCCGATTAAAACACCGGACATTCACTTTTCATCCTCTCAATTTCGTAGAGAACACCCTCGTCACGAGAAGGCAGTGAATAAGACTTCGCTGACAGAGGCTATATAAGCGTGACAATGTGAGAGCATTTCGAGAGGGAGAGAGGACGCACACCACCGTTGGCCTTACCAATGGATTTGGTGACTGTGAGGTGTGTCTTCGATGTTGACTAGTTAGTCACACAATTCCCGTCTCATTCAAGTAGGCCCTGAATCATTCGACAGAGATAATCTACACTCGTGATCTACACCATACTGTCAAATATTACCACATACCTGTTACATTTATTAAAATAATTAATGATTATTTGGAAGACAGATGATCTATTACGTTGATTCTCATTTTATTTATTTATTTATAATTTATAGTCGATGATTATCTCGATCCCAGCTTCAAGGTCACTTTCTGAATTGGAAAAGCTATGGATTCCAAGTACTTGGTTTATTACACTGGGAATCACATTACTGACTGTAATATTCGGCGGATTAAAACGATTCGATATAAAAAGATCTTTCAATATATTCTTCATTGTTATATTCACTTTACAAGCAGTAGTTTACATCGTTCTCATTATATTGAATCAATTTGAATGCTATGATGTAAGTGTGATTTGATAATTTTATAGATTGAACAATGTTATTTGGTATTTATCTGATTGTGGAAAATCAGTAAGATATTGTGTTATGTAGTTCGATATCTAACAATTAGATGCTAAAGGCATTACACCTAAGAGTTTTATGTTCATTTCTTTCCTTCCTATTCATAACAAACATCAATGTCATCCTTTTACAATTGTTTATTGGTAAGCCAGCCGTTCTGAATACACGAACATCTTCATGATATTTTCTAGCTACCACCAATTTCTGTTTGTAAATGCGACTGATATTGAAGCGGTAGAATCAATACAATTAAAGTTGACCGAACCAAAAAATACCATATCACCACATAACGTTATTGACTGTTGTCCTGGATCACTAGTTAGGTGCTCTCAGATTTGCAGTAATTATTCAGTTAATGTTAGTCAGTAATGTTGATTGTCACTGAGTTTATATTACTTACTTGCGCTTGTTACCCCAATGAAGCATAGGCTGCGAACTAACATTCTCCAACGCACTCTATCCTCTGCTTTCCTTTCTAGTCCTTTCCAATTGTTGTTCATTCTTCTGATATCTGTCTTCATTTATCAGAGTAATGTGTTCTTTGATCTTCCTCTTCTCCTTTGATCTTCGAGATTCCATGTGAGTGCTTGCATTGTGACGCAGTTGGGTGCTTTCCTGAATTTGCGTCCTATCCACTTCCAGAACATCTCCCTGGCTTCTTCCTCCACTGGAATCTGCTTTGTTCACTCCCACACTAGGTTGTTGCTGATAGTGTCTGGTCAATGGGTTGGAGATATTTTGCGTAGACAATTGTTAATAAGTATTTGTATCTTCTGCAGGATGGCTTTCGTAGTTCTCCAGGTTTCCGCCCTGTACACTAGATCTGTTTTGATGTTTGTATTGAAAATTATGAATTTTGTGTTGGTTGACAGACAGTTGTATTGAGTTTCATATGTTCTTCAATTGTCAACATCTTGAACTTGCTTTACCGATCGGCACCTTCACATCTGCGTAAGATCGACGGTGTTCATCAGTGATTCTGCTCAGATATGTCAAGTTTTTCACATCCTCCAAAGCCTCTCCATTAAGTGTGATTTGATTGGTGTATGCTGTTGCATCGGAGAATCTTGCATTTCTCTTTGTGTATGTCGAGGCCTATTGCTGTTGAGGCTGCTGCCACACTGATCACTTACTCCTGCATTTTTTGTTGCATGTGCAATCGAGAAGCCGGATTATCTACGTGATCCAGATAGTTCAGCTTTATCCTTGCTATCCACTATGTCCCATGCTTTCCCTTAGATGTTGGCGTCTTCACAATTCAATCAATCACCATGAGAAAGAGGAGAGGTGAGAGTGAGAAACCTTGCCTGAAACCGGCATTTCCCACCAACGATTCTGTCAGCTATCCATCATAAGAATTCAGTAGGATATTGACTATTTTCTCAGGCACGCCGTAGTGTCAAAAAAGCCTATGTAGTATTGTCCCGTCTATGCTACCAAATGCTTTCTCGTAGTCAATGAAGTTGATGTAGAGTGATGAATTCCATTCAATTGATTTTTTCACAATGGTCCGTAGAGTTTCGACTCGGTGTGTACGCCGTTGATACTTATGGAATCCATCCTGTTGGTCTCGAAGTTGGTCGTCTATGGAGTCCATGATTCTGTTGAACAACACCCTGCGGAATATTTTCCTTGGTATTCAGAAAATAATGATACCTCTGATTGTCACTGAATAATGAAACTAAATCTGCACTTATTCATCCAGATAAATTTCAATTTGTACTATAAAAGTTATTATTATTACTATTTGATAGGTAATCTTGATTATTTCTGGATTTGGAATGCTACTGACAATCATCTATGTAAGTAATTCAGAAGTATAACTCAAATATTTGTTATCACATTTCATGGTTCATATTTGTAGTGTCGTTGATATGATCAATTGAAAATTGTTTACCTCTAAATATGGACCCACTGAACGATTGTCTTCACTCCCTATGTTTTGAGAAGTTGAATATATTTAGAATATACTGTCTACCAATGTTTTGTTCTGTCTAAAACTCATGATCACTTTGAGTCTAAGTTCGGTTAAAGTGAAATACGTGCCCAATATTTCACTAAGAGCTTCTATACAAAATACATTAAGGGTTTAGATATTCTTCATACCTTTGTTCCTCGTCGAAGATTTATTACGTAGCATTGTAAATTCTATTCTTAGTATTTTTAATTAAACATCACCACTGTTTTGAGCAGTTGTTTGTTTGAAGATACACTAATTAGTCACAGTATAGTGACCGTAACGTAGTCACCGTATCGTCAGGGTCAAGTTTTCAAGGTCTCCAGTTATATGGAACTTAACACTGTATTGCACCTCAAATAATGACAAATGATTAATGTTGTAATGTTGAAACGCATATTTGTTCAAGGTTCTGGGTAAATGTGCAAATGTAATTAGATCAGGGTGTTTTTTAAATTATCCTGTGTACATGCTATTAACAATGGAGTGATCTCAATTGGATTAATGATGAAAATGATAAACTAATGGATTGTTAAAAGGCGAAACAGTCGAATTGGGAGATGTGTACGAACGAACGTTAACTAGATGTTTATTCTGGTTGAAGACTATTCACGAAACTCAAAGCTGCAGTGTTCCATTTGTGACATGTTAATAGATATGAACTTCTGAAAAACTATATAAAAGAAACATTTCACTATTCACTATTTCATTATGACCAGTGTTACATCGACTGATGAGTGTACGTGAGAATTCTCATCTACAGAATTCGTTTACATGAATTACACAATTACTATGTGAACTATGTCATGATATGTAAAAAGTACTTGTGCACTGTCATCTGGTTTTCTGATGTACTGAAGGAAGTTTAAGAAGATGGAAAATTGATGTGAGATTTTGACTAGTTGTCAAATACAATGATGAAGTAGGTGAGTTAATTATCAAGGGGGGTCGGCTAACAAGAACACACACATCCATTCTTAAATAACTCACTACAATTTCACAGAATGCTTTTGCACTAGTCATTTTCACATTATGAAGTTAGCAAACTAAAGAGTAGAGAACAAATAACCTTATGGTGAACGCTGACATAAACTTTAATATTTTGTTCTAGTATGGGACTACTTGATAATGTACATCCAGGATTTCACTCACGAGATTCGAACCCATAACTGTTCGATCCAATGCTTCCAGAGTTTCTACATTTAAAATCAATTCAACCATTAAATTACTAAAATCTTCATAAACCACCCTTCTAATTATAAAATTTTGTGTTTAGTCCTAGCCGTCATTGAAATTGACAGTAACACACATAAGTTGAACGATGGTTATACACATGGTTTTAGATGATTGAAGTTAAAGCATGATACTGATGAATATGTACATTGATTTCAGGAATTGGCAATTGCAACTCAAGCAATTTTTGCAGGTGATAAACGATTCGGTTTTCGAGATGATCAGTATTTTCTATTTGGATTAGTACTTGCAACAATAATGATTTGGATGAATATGATCATTTCAAGTGAAATATTACTTATATGCAATGTATTCAATAAAACAAGCCAATGTATTTCAGAGGAACAAATGGATATGTAAATGTCTATACACACTGATTGGTGATTGTCTATGAGTGTTATCTTTTGTTATGTGAAACTGTTATAGGGATCACAAGATCAGTTACATTTAATTTGCAATGCTAAAAATTGTAACCAAAATCGCTTTCTTCCTATGTGATTCATTAAATGAATTTTTTCAATACTTCTGTAAGTGATGTTTGTATTGGTGTATATACGAAGTTGAACTTTTTCATTTCATTCTGCTTATTCTATCATGAATATAAAGTTTTCTCATAATTTGTCTTCTCTCTGTGTTTTGGTGTTATATGCTAGTTCTCGTTACACGGATGAACCGGTTGTATTATAGTGAAGGAGAACACAAGTGGGAACGATCAAATATATTAGAATACAAAATTACAGAATATCTTAGTCTAATCTGAGAACCATATAGTAAATAACTGATTTGCGAAATATCAGTCAATCACCTCAAACTTCATTGTTCCTACGTCTCCACACCAATCATTCTCTGTTCTCGCTCTCATTTCTTCAATCTTATTCACCTTCTGACACCAGGTTTTTCACTTTCAACTGATGATACATACTACTTATATCTATCGACATCAGTAGGACACGCTGCAGTAATTTTGCCAGTATTAGAACTCGAAAGAACTTGACAGAAACCATACCACTTCTATATGTCTAAATTAGTTACTTGTTGTGTTGCTTTTATATCCGAGATGATATTTTTCACATAGGTATAATGAGTAGTCGACAGTTGTCATACAGTTACATCGATTTACATTTGTCCTTCAAACAAACACCTAATTTTTCATTTGATCTCAATGAGTTCATTAAGTGTGAAGTAATTTCTTAGAGATGAATGTCTTAGATAAATCCTTATTCTGTCATATACAAAACTATGTATATAACCAGCAAGCTTAATCTGTTTGTAACAAATAATTTAAAAGGATTAAATTATTAAATTGCACTATTTCGGGAATTCCTACTTAGTACTATTACGTCCTCTGCTTGATTGGTACAGAATACGACATTCACCTAACGGCACTCGGATGTACAGAAACCCTACAGTTGCAAATCAAACACAGGAGAAGCAGAAGAAGCGATTATCGGGTATGAGTGGAAAATGTACAGAAAAACATGGGTATTTATAGACATTAGCGGTAGTTATAACAACATTATAGTCCGGTCAATTCGAAAGGAGTTGATTTATGCTACCGTCAAATAGTATCATGACACGTTGGTATTCTAGAAAGCTCCATCAGATTCCGAATGGGTGGAAATTCCTAGACTCTTTTAGAGCCTCTGGAGGCTCCGTCGTGTCACACCTCCACGGAAAGGCATTTTCTCCTTCCGTTCACTTGCAGCCCCACAACTGGTTTGCTTGTTGCTGTCTTTCTTGTCCAAGTCCTCAGTCTTATGTTCTTTCTGCTATCCTAACTCGTATGCGTCGTTGATGTATCTGTGATTAACTCTAATGAAAGACTTACCTGATTATCTCTGATATCCATCATTCTTTCATCTTTGTGGATTTGGTTCGTACGTCTGATACATAACCTAGAAGTTCCTCGGACTCTGTACAAAACTTTTCACAATTTTTGTAAAATTGTTCCCACTACTCATCAATACTCCCCTAGGTATGGCTTGACGAACACTTTATCGCTAATGTGAAATCTTCAGATATCTGGATCTCATCGGTACGCATCAACTATTTTAGATGGCAACATGGTGTTGAAAATAGTCTGAACCATTTGTAGGCACTGTCTCTGGGACCCACTAAGGGATTACTAAAGAATCATATAAATCACATACCTATTCCATCATCAATTCTGTTGATAAATTTCATTTCGACTGTATGTCTGGTATTACATTCGAATCCTGGTTCAAGAAACATGAAGATTGGTTGACGGTCGACCTCAACATACTTGGTGATGCCGCTAAGGTCAGAATACTTCAAGGAAAACCTGTCACGGTTGGAAGTAAATGTCACAGTAACTTCATTCTTCCGAAAAACCCAAGGGATTTTTCTTCTGATGCAAAAACTGATTTCCTGTCTCATATCTATAGTGAAATATCATCCTTGTTCAATGTTCGCTATTAGTGCCTCAAGATAACATGAGCCAGTGATGATGACTGGGAAGAACATGAAAGTCTAGTAAACCGTGAACGTGAACATTTCAAATGAACAAGAATGAATGAAGGTTAGTTTAAGTGTCCTGTGATCGAATGCAGCCTGAAAAATGTACTTCGACGATACAATGGAGGGCATTTAGATCGGTGACGAAAACCCACTGTCACAAATCTGATAGTCGAGACTTCTTGTTCATTGCTTCCAATCATCTTAATATTAAGTAGTTAATGATCACATTACACATAATAATAATAATAATAATAATATATTCTGAAAATAATATTTAAAGAATTCACACCAGTTTACAGGCATGATCAGATTGTTATAAAAATCAACATTTAATGTAGAGAACAAACATGAATTATAAGGTTTTATGTTTGCTGGTTTAGTAATTGATAAACAGTTTAAATATGGCATATATCACGGCAAGCCAATGCAACACCAGGGAACTTGTCATTTTTTCATCAAGTGGATAGCCTGATGATTGACCAACATTATTCTGTAAGGTTATTACCAGTGCCAGAGCGAGTTATTATTAATTATCCACAACTAGAGAAAGTAAGATTAAAGCAAAGAGCACGGAACAACAAAACAATGATAGCAAGTAAGAGGTTAAACATTTAAAGTTCCTATAATCTCACTTGTGGAGTAAGATACACTTGCAGGCGCTAGAGCATTTAATGCATTTTCAGAGGAGCAAAAAGCATTAATTGACCGAACAAACAATGGGTGAGAGTCTAACATACGGATAGTTTGGGGTAAATTATTCCAGAGTCTAGAAAAATTACAGGAAAAGTAATTCATATAGAGAGAAGACCTAGAATATGTTTGTTTCGCTAAAGACAAGGAGTTACGAATGTCGTAATGTGAAGCCTTAGCATATTGAATCGCCTGACTGGATGTGAAGGAGAGTTTGTTAAGTATTTTGAAAAAGAAGATAAGGTTAAGTTTCAGTCTCCTCATCCATAAAGGGTCAAGCCCTAGTTTACTACACCTCGAATTATATGTCAAGACACTATCAGGTCCAAGAGTACGAAATGTAAATCGTCTCTGTTTTGATTCCAGTTTTAATCTCTCCTTTATGCGCGTGCTACTAAGGAGAAACGCGCAGTATTCGAGGAGTGGTCGAATACAGACTTTGTA